TATATTTAGATTTGGAGAGCTCTACTTTAAATGATGGTGAATCTGACGTAGTTTTTGTTTGATGAATGAAAAAGATAATACTACTATATTATTACTAATACTTCAATACATATATTAACTCTATGGAATTTTTTAATTTATATGAATTTTTTTCTTTTTGTAGATTGATATTGATGATTTCATGGTGTTAAGATTTTTGGAGCAATTTCATTGTCATTGTCCTCATTGATGTTTTGGCTTTAATATGTCTTGTAGTACATTTACCGTATACTTTTGGAATTGTGGTTTGACTTTTGAGTTATAAATTGGTACTATATGTCTTAATGACTTGATTAGATGTAATCGCTATTTTCTTAATTATTGCTTCTTTTCTTTTGTAAAGAATACAAAATGAATGAGCATACGCGCATACGGCATTCATGATTCCTAAATATATTATACAGTAGCATCTAACATGAATATAATGATAAAAGTATGTGTAAATAGGCATTAGGCAAGCATGAGATTCATGACACTACAGTAATGATTAATATGGTTATAATGTACAATACTCAAAGAATTAAGCCCATAAACAATAAGGTACGCATTAGAAAACTATTCACAATCATTGAGAATTGTCCCAGTCCAGGGTTTAGACCGGACTAATCGGTCCGGTCCGATCTTGGACCGAATTTGATTGGTCCAGTCTTCGGTCCCAACTTTCCTAAAATTCGGTCTTCGGTCTAGTCCGATCCAGTTCGGTTATGGACCGATGCACAACCCTACATGAAACTTGGTGGAGGAATTTGAAGAAGTGCCACGAAGTGGTGGTAAGCTCCTTGGTGGTCAACTCTTGGATTTGACCATCCTCAAACTTGAGTAGTTGCTTGGTTAAAATGGGCTACTTAACTTCAAATAGCTATGTCTTTTACGTTACAAAGAATTTTATAACAATTCAAATTGGAGATGAAAGTAGAGTCCAAGAGCTTTTCAACGAGAGGTCATAAGCCCGATTTGAGCGAGAATAGAAGAACTTATGCGCATTTGACGATAAGTTATCTTGGTCAAACCCAAATTTCCTTGAACAAACCTTTACAAGGTTCACCCAAACATTTTGTAAGCTAGTTTGAGAAGTTAAGCTTCATAGTGGTTTGCCCGAACCTACCAATGGTTCGCCCGACTTTAGGATTGTTCGCCCGAACTTTTAAGCGATTCCGGGTTACTTTATCCTTTGTATTTTTGCTTGTTTGGACAACTTTCTTTTACTTTAAACTTATATTAGTAGGTTTTATCTCACTCCATATAAGAGGAGAGAAACCCTTGTAATGAAGATTCTTGCCTCTTCTGAACTTTAAAAGAGAATTTTCTCTCTTTCGATCTTGGTGATTATTTGCAAATCTATGAGATTTCTCCCCTAATCTTTGCTCTACTTTGTGTTAGGCTTGGATTAAACCCTTATTACATTAAACTTAGTGAATTATGTGCAAGAATTTATCTTTGTTACTTGTTCTCTCTCAGATTGCATCTTAAACATTGAAGCTTGGATTGAAAGTTGGTCTTTCTTATTTATTTCATATCAATTTGGTATCAATAGCCTAGGTTATTAGCCTAGAAAGACCCTACCTTTTTTAATCTCTTTTCCCCTCTCAAAAGATCTCATCTTTTTCCCAAAAAGTTTGAACTTTTCCTCTTGAAACATGGATGACAGGTTTTTTAATGAAGATGAAGAAAGTCACATTAAGCACTCTAGATTGGATGTTCTAAAAAGGAAGTTTGATAGATTTCATTATGTTTTGGAGAATAGAAGAAGCCTTAAGAAGTAGAAGTCCAAGCGGAAAAGATGGTTCTTATTCTCCTCATTGGAAAAGGGAACACCACCAATGGCACCATGAGGACAACCGTGACCAAGACATCAAGTTGGAATTTCCGGATTTTGAAGGTAATCTTAAACCTAATGAATTTCTTAATTGGGTTAGAAGTATGGAGAATATGGTCGAGTATAAAGGTTATAATGATGAAAAACATTGCAAATTGGCCATCCTTAAACTTAAAAGAACATGCTTCTTTGTGGTATGATAACTTATAAGAGCCGTAGGAGGAAAGAAGGAAAATCAAAAGTCACTTTTTGGGAGAAATTAAGGAAACACATGAATAAGGCTTTTGTGCCGAGGAAGATGTTTGTCTTAAATTGAATGCTCTCAAGCAAGGTGCTATGTCGATATAAATGTATACTATACCAAGGAGTTTGAAAAACAATCTATTTTGAGTGGAATTGAAGAGGCCCTAGAGCATAGGATTGCTAGGTAAATTGGTGGTCTTGAGAGGAAGCTTGGACAAAAGATTGATGTTCATGCCCATGGAAGTTTTGATCATGTAGTGCAAAGGGGTTAGAAGTTTGAGAAGTATGACAAAATGAGTAGTGCTAGTGGGCACCTTCTTTCAAGAACCCTTTACTCCAAAAGGTGAGACAAGCAAGCCCATTGCCAAGGATGACAAAGGCAAGGCTCTCATGCATTCTTCTAGCAAGGATGACCAAAGCAAGAGCAAAAAAGTTTGCTAGAAGTGTAGAGGCTACGGACATTTTGCTAATGAGTGTCCTAATAGTAGAGCTACGATGATTCTTGAAATGGAGGATGATAAATACAAAGATGAGAAGAGAGATTTTAAGAACCCTTCATATGATGAGAATGATGAGGTTAATGTGGGTCAAATCCTTGTTAAAAGGTCACTTCACTCCATTTCCAATCCTTTGGCGAAAGAGCAAAAGAATAACATTTTCCAAACTCGAGTTTGCAACCTTATAATTGATAGTGGCTCTTGCACTAACGTGGCTTCAACAATACTAGTGATGAAGCTCTAACAATACCGAGAATCCTACTCCATATAAGCTTCAATGGCTTAATAATCACAATGAGGTTAAGGTAACAAAACGAACTCTTTTTTTTTTTTTTTAATTTGCAAATTATATAAGGATGAGGTGCTTTGTGATGTGTTGCCTATGGATGCTTGTCATGTGTGATGTGTTGCCTATGGATGCTTGTCATGTTTTATTTGAAAAACCTTGGTAATTTAATAGAAGCGTGTTGCATGGTGGAAGGAAAAACACTTATTCATTCATGATGGATAAGAAGAAGATTGTACTCAACCCCTTATCCCCCACATTTAAACACAAAGAACCCTTTGGTATGGGAAACTCAATCAAAGAGAACCTTCTCATAGGGAAAAAAGAGATGGGAAAGGAGATGAATCAAGTGCAAATCGTTTGTGTTTGTCTTCTTAGGGAAACTTGTCTTCTTAGGGAAACACAAGAAAGTGAGTGAGAGAACCCAATCCACCCCCTTGTCAAGGAAGTGTTGGTCGAGTACCAAGAAAAATGTACTTTTATGGTTGATAGTGTTGTTTTCCTTGGCTATGTGGTTTCTAATGTAGCGATCTCAATGGACCCAAACAAGGTGGAAGCCATTCAATCTTGGCTTATTCCTACTACTCTTACCTAAGTTAGGAGTTTCCATGGCCTAACTTCATTCTATCAAATATTTGTGAAGAATTTTAGTACTATTTTGGCTCCGGTCACCGAATGCATGAAGGGAACTTTTGAGTGGACACCATCGGCTTAAAGGGCTTTTGTCAAGAAAAAGTTATGTGAGGCACTGATCTTGGAACTTCTGAATTTTTATCAATAGGCTCCGATCTTGGAAATTCTGAATTTTGATCTACCCTTTGAGGTTGAATGTGATGCTAGTGAAGTTAGAGTTAGGGCGGTACTTGTTCAAGGAGGGAGGCCGGTTGCTTATTTTAGTGAGAAGCTTAGTGGGGCAAGAACGAAATATAATACCTATGACAAGGAAATCTATGCAATTGTGAGGATTGTTGATCATTGTTCACATTACTTGAAGCTTAAACCTTTTGTGTTACATTCTGATCATGAATCTCTTAAGTACATCATGGTTCTCATAAGCTCAATGTGAGGCATGCCAAATGGGTTGAGTTTCTCCAATCCTTTACTTTCTTTTCTAAATAAAAAGAAAGGAAGAGCAATGTTGTAGCCGATGCTCTGCCTAGGAGGCATTTTTTTATCATAATTCTTGATGCGAAGTTTTTGAGGTTTGACTTGCTTAAAGAATTGTACGGTGATGATGAGGATTTTGGTGAGTTGATGAAGAAGTGTGAAGATGGGATCAATGGTTCTTTCATGATGCAAGAAGGTTTCCTTTTCAAAGGAAACAATCTTTGTGTTTTCAAATGTTCTCATCGAAAGTTACTCGTGAAAGAAGCTCATCAAGGAGACCTTGTTCCAAAAACGTATAATATCCTTCGTGAACATTTTTAATGGCCTAAAATGTTTGGTGATGTGCAAGATGTAATAGTTCGTTGTGGTGCTTGTCATAAGGCAAAAAGTCAATTCCACGATGGACTCTACTCTCCTCTTCCGGTTACTGGCCACCCACGGGACGATTTTAGTATGGATTTTGTGGTTGTTCTCCCTTGTACTCCAAGGCAAAATGATTTTGTGTTTGTTGTGGTGGATTGTTTTAGCAAGATGGCTCTATCATTCCTTGTCATAAGACCGATGATGCTTCTCATGTTACTACCTTGTTCTTTAGAGAAGTAGTAAAGCTCCATGGTATTCCAAAGAGCATTGTGTTAGATCGTAATCCCAAGTTCTTCAACTATTTTTGGAAGACTTTGTGGAAGTTGGTGGGGACCAAGCTCTTATTTAGCCCTTCTAGTCACCCTCCGATTGCTAATCGTACCTTGTCCACCGTTCTCCGGGCTATCATTAGCAAGCACATGTCCACCATTCTTTGGAATTTAACGAGCAAAAAATGACCCTTGGGTGCACCTACCTCTATGCGCACCCAAGTATATATGAGATTGTTGGTTTGTTTTGGTCAACTAGATAGCTTCATATTAGCTGGACTACTCTCATACTTTCAGCAGGGATGTATATGGATTTAATGAAAATATATGACATTATAGGGCCAAATGTAACCAATGGAAAAACAACTCTTAAGGCTTACTTGAATCATCAGCAGTGTGGCAACACAGTTTGCAATGAGCTCTGACGGAATCTTTGCATCATGTGGAGCAACTGCTCCATTTGACCTGGAATCGTGTGCTTGCTCAGAAGCCACCACGTTTATAAGCTGATTCTGACGAGATAAACTTCCACTGAGCTGAGAGGCCTGTACCGACATGCCAGAATCGTCAACCATAAGCTGATTATTGACAAAGTCTACTACCTCTTCAATCTTTTGAATGGTATCCATTGCTACATTAAGTGATGAAATGGCCTGAAACAGATGTGGTAAAGAGCTACCATCAGAAATCAGCAAAAACGTGCACAGTTCAAGTGGGAGGAGCTGCCAAAGAGTTGGAGGTATTTAGGAACCCTGCAATAGGGCCGTTTGACACCAATAATTGACCACATGCACATTGCAATGCAGTTAATCAGTCTAGTTAATTTAATTTGCATCTCCACTACAACTCTGGGGCTTCTAAGGTAAACAAATAACTAACAGTTCTGTTTATACTTGTCTTAACTTCTCTTAATTACATCAACAGAGAACAAAATTTAGATGAATGTGTTCTACATGATAAAAGTAAGAGGACCTATCTCACACAAAATTTTGACCAAAAGGAGGAAATTAAAAGAAGAATAATGCAGTAGAAACACTGGATGTCTGACAAAAACGAGTCCATGGAAAATCAGACGAGGTTAGGGCAACTATGGAGCAGGGAAACTATTCACACGAACCTAGCCAGAGGGAAGCCATTCCAAACAAACCTGTCACTACTTTCCTCTCAGTTCGCTCATATGTTGCCAAGCACACCAACAACAAAAGATACCAGTAATCTCGCTTCTAAGGCTAATAGCAAACATGTAAGATCTCGAAGTGGAAGAAAGACACAAACCTACTTCATATCTACCAATTCAAATAAATCAAACTACAGGAAGGTAGCTGTACCTATTACTACAATGTAGCCAAGAACCCGCTTTACCCTATTTAATAACCCCACCATATCTTCTCTCTCTTCCCCCTAAAAACAATAAAATATTTCCACTACTTCTTTCTTTATTCATTATTAATCAACAATACCCCACCAAAATTTATCTTCTAAATCTATGTGCCCGAGGGAAATGGGGCTTTTAAATGGGGATGGAGGGAGTACTTCTATTTCAAAAAAAGGCCCCACAATTATCTTAATACATCACTCTTTCTACAACTAAAAAGTTAGGGTCCCACAATCACTAACATTAATAAAAATAAAAAAAACCCTATCTTCAATCAAATCTACTTTTCCCAAAACAATACCCCACTATCTCCTTTAACATATACAATTCTAACAAAATAGAATTGATAATCAAATAACTTATCACCTAACACTATGCTATGATCAGTTTCAAAATTAATGTGGGACAAAGGAAGTAGAGTAGAGGAACATTTTAGTAAATATGAGGACAGTAAGTTACAGAATGTTGGGCTTCTAAGAAGGAGCACATTAAAAAGATGGAGGCTACAGAAATGCGCATGTTAAGGTGGATAAGTAGGAACACTCTAAGAGATAGAATCAGAAATGAGGTTATCAGCAAGAAAATAGGTGTGGCAAGCATTGCAGACAAACTAAGGGAAAATCGTTTGCGTTAGTTTGGGCATGTAAGACCCGAGGGTGCACCGGTACGAAGAGTGGAACGGTGGGACCATGGAGGGGTTAAGCGTGGAAGAGGGAGACCGAAAATGACTTAATTGGAACGAGTTAGGAAGGATATGAAGTATATGGACTTGCATGAGGGCGAGGTATTGGATCGTAAAGGATGGAGGAGGAAGATTTTTGTGGACGACCACATGGAATTATCATTTTTGGTTCATGTAGCTGACCCCATTTATGGGATTAAGGTTTTGATTGATTGATTGAGGACAGATAGGTGTGTATAATACAATAGAGAGCTCCCAAAGACAAAATACCATAGTTTTGCAACTCTAGCAACAATTTGAAGAAAGAAAGGGGTTAGATTGATGGATTTTGGAACAACAACAAAATAGCCTTAGTCCCAAAAAGATTTGGACTCGGCTACCATGAATCGTCATAAGGAACCATTCGAAAAAGAAAAAAACATAACAAGATAATTGGTTGATACAAGTTTAAAAAAAAAATGCTAAGTGAGAAAAAGAAAAAGTAAAATTTGGAACATGATGAAAAATTTCTTGCCTTACAGCAAGAGGTACACCATAGAAGAACAAAAAATGGATTTTGATAATCAGATTAGAACTGGCCATTTTTACCTTAAGTGCTGCATCTACCATCTTTCGTGCTTTGATTCTTGAAGTATCAACTATTTCACATACATGTGAGCCTGTCCTTTGAGAATCACATGGAAAGCAATTTAATGAACTTACAACGCTACCATGATCATCCAAATTTGCCTTTGTCTTCTGCCAAGGAACCAGAGAGTTCCCTTGGTAAGTATTTCTTTGTCTCAAGCATGTCAAAGCTGAGGAAACCTACACATAAACAGAACAATGACAAATACCCATATAATAAATAATGAGATATTATTTGAATCATTATAAATTTCCTCTATTTTAGTGTTAAAGGGGCACAGTATTAAATATAAGCTTAGTCAAATAAAATATAAAATTGAAGCACAAGACTCAGTTGCAACTCACAAATAGCGCTCTACCCAATAAAAAGAAAGAAATACCTGATCTAACACTTCATTTAACTGCACCAGCACAGCTGCATATTGCTTCTTGAAAGACTCCAAATATTTGAGAGAATGATTTTCATAAACATCATCATTCATGCGTTTTAGTTCAGTTACCAAGGCATTCTGCAAGAAAATCATTGCATTGCAAATCAAATTCGTTGTACTTAGTGAATCATACAGAATTTTCAACAGTATACAATCATAAGATAAACATCCAAAAATTCATCAATAAATGAAATAAAGAAAAAGAAAACAATTTAATCAACTGGATTTAGAGGATTAAAACCTAAATTTAAATATGTCTTACTTAGACTCTACATTTGAATTAAAATATTCAAGTACCATTATTGCCAAGGGAATTGGATTATGGCAATTAGACACTTCAGAATAGAAAGCTTGTTGTCTATATTTATCTCACATTGTTAACTATGTCGATCAAAACACAGAGAATTGACGAACTGAAGTCAAATTAATTGCGGGAAAAAGCTGTCCATTTAACATAGTTACATTTTTTTGTATAGATAGTCACAATCAGTAACACATGCTACTGCGTGAGCGCAAACACAGTTTAGGCTAATGGCTACCAAATGAAGACGGCACAATATCCACAAATCAATTAATACATCTTTATTGGGAATGATTTTTATGGTGTATAGAGAATAAGAATACAATTGACAGTGCAAGCAAAAGAGGATAAAGTTAGACCAACACCAATTGTTAAGAGGAAGTTCTTTTAAAAAATCAAAGAATAAGAACCTCTTCATATATTTTACTGCCATCGTAACTTATTAAAGCAGCGGTATACAAGAGTTGCGAAGCAATCTAAAAGATTCAATTGGTACAATCCATAATGCACCAGACATGTTCTTCCGTGAATAAGATCCTCAAGATGGCATATATAAGTTGACATTAAAACACATCATCTACTCACCAATGTTATGCATTAAATAGTCCAGCACTGTGCCAATATGGAAATTAATTAAATGTGACATAAAAATTGCTGTACATCCACCAAAAACAAGTCCCTAAATACCTAGATAGATACCTAATGAAATAGTAACAATAAAAGAGTAAAATATCAACTTCTAGAGCATTTTTATTTTTTTTTATTTTTTTTTTTTGACAGGATACTTTAAAGTACTTATGGAGAGATTCAATGGGTAAACAAATGATTAGGTGTATAACCTTTTTATCGAGAGCTCGGGATAGCTCTGCCAAAGCACGGATATCAGCCTCCTTTGCTTGCAAATGGAATAGAGCAGACTGTTGAGGGCTCACAACATCAGTTTGACCAGTCTTTTCATGAGAACTTGGAGTTCCAAAAACATCCTGACAGGGATAAGAGAAGCTTACAAAAAATAAAACATATGCTATAAAAGAAAAAACTAAACACAAAACTCAATTCAAGACAAGGCACTCAAGGATTCTTCATTATGAATCGAATGTCAAAACTGAACAATGACAAAAAGATCTCATTTCTAGAATGAAAGGACCAACCTTCGCCTGTTTTGATAAATCACTTATTTGATAAAAAGGAGCGACATTTGAGGTGCCGAGAGCACTTTCCATTTTTTGGCTTGGTGTCAGTTTTATTATTTCTTCCTTCATCCTATCTTCAGATCTCTCGTTTGCTTTGAACTGCTTCAATGCCTCATAGAACTTATCAATAGCACCATCGTGTCGCTTAAGAGATGTAGGCATATTTTCCACCGGATTTAACGGCATGCAGTCGATATCCTGCGGTCAGACTTGTAAGATGATAGGAAATTTCATATGTATGATAAAAAAAAAAAAAAAAAAAAAAAAAAAGCGGACAAAATATTTATGCCAATTTAATAATGAGACAAACTAGCAATTGATGTTAGACAATGTTTGTGAACAACTCAATAAAGTTTGTAATCTTGTTCATGTCCAAATATAACTTAGTTTTAGGCTTGGTTAAGCTGGAAAAATTTCTCAGCAGTTAAGCTTAAGATTATTGCATAGCTTACAAAAGGAATTCGAATTTTTCACAATAAAACTTATTTCATCCAATGAATGGATAAAAAATTGGCCACAACTTTTTAGTGGGAATTTTGACAAATATTTGAATTATTTCAAAGAACACATAAGGTCTATAAATAAACGTTAATTCAAAAAAGATAATGAAACCCTTGTTCATAAATCTAACTTGATTTACGCGTTTGGTCTTGAAATGCTAATGAGCATGCAAGCTAAGCTCAAGCAAGATACTCAACAACCCAAGCTCAAACAAAAAATTTAATATTCATGGGTAGCCAATTAAAAAGCTTGAATAAAATAATCCTTATCAAGTTTCCTTAGTTGAAATTGCCTAAAACTCAACTCAAGTCGGCTTTTTTGCAGCCACGTAAATAATTAATAAAGTTGCAAAACAGAGATAATGAAGTGATTTCAAATTGTACATGGATAACTAAAATGTGTTTGTATATCTCTAGATCTCTCATTGTGTGCATATATGCTAGGATAAATCATCTATCAGTAGGATTCAGCATGCTTTTAGCTGCTCTCTGTCCAGAGCTCTTAGTACTTCTCTTTCAAGTTTCTTCCCAAGAAATGATTTAAGTTCCTGGCCGGAATGTTTCACGATTTTGAAGATCTAATTATAAGAGATGGTTTGAATCCTTTTGAGTATTAGGAAGAGTTTGATGGGCTTAAGAAAAGGAACCCAACCAGAATATTGTAAAACGGTAATTATGTCCATAGTGTTTTACTGATGATGTGTAAGAAAAGTAACCCAGGAAAAACAAGAGCTAACCGCCAGGGCAACAATAGGACAATTTAATTTTTTTCTACCACCTAATAATATAAGATATATTAAGTTAAGGCCTTGAAAGAAGGTTCCTAGGGTTGGTTGCTTCCTTATCTAAAACATAAAAACAGAGAATTCAGCCATCAAGTCATAAGCATATGAAAAAAAAAATACAGATCAAACTTAAGTACCTTAACAAATTCAACTCCTAGTTCAGGCCTGTCAAACTGAATCCGGCATACATTATGATCAACTGTAAGCACCTTTCCATTATGAATTTCTCTTGACCGCGGATGAATGGCAATAACACGCTGACCTACTGTTAAAGGACGAGCTAAATCAGTTGGAAGTCCTTCTCTTTTTCCCATGCGCAATTCAGAATAGTGGCTCCTAACTGATTCACGATAGTAATTCAGTTTCTCCTTTTCTTCCTTCAGAAATTGTTGTGAAAATCTTCGTGGTTTTCCCAATGAACTGCATCAAACAATACAAAGAATGAACTTCAAACTTCCTGCACTCCATGGAAAATAAGCATTAAAGGCTTATCAATCTAAAGCAAACTTGGGGAAGCTTTTCAAGTTCCAATTGAAATACATTTTGTTGGATAGTAAGACAGGACAAAAGGTATGGAAAGAGAAGAAGGAGGCGGTGCAAGATGAAAGGTGGAGCTTCCATTTCCCTCCAAATTTCTCCAATTTAGAAGGAATGGTGTTTTATACAAATAAGGAAGGGAAAATGGATCACTTCCTTTTCCCCAATCTCTTATCCAAACAAAGGGAATTTGTCCCTCCCCCCACCCCCTCTTTCCCTTCCCTCCATTTATCCCCATATCCTCGTAGCCAACCAAAGTGTTACTTCAATTATACACCTAGCTGTGTAAAATGTATTTCGAAACCCCAATGTAAGAAATGTTTAAAAAGTGCAATAACATAGCAATCAAATGTGAAAGAAGAATCATGAAATTGTCAATAAGAAATGTTTCATTTAACCTAATATTATACTAGGAAATTGCCTCAAGATAACTAATAAATACACCCTCAAGCCCTAAAACAAACACAAGATTTAATTTTCCCTCAAACCCAAAATAAAAAAAATAATCACTTTTTACATTTAATATTTGCACATATAAATTCCTATATAACCCTTTATAATATCCTTATAAGCATTTGTTAGAAACATTTTTCATAAAGACTGAATTTGTAAGATGGGGATAATTTAATTTAACAAAGTGCAATAACTACCTTATAAGACTTTTAGTTCAATAAAGCTACCATCAAGCCAGAAATGAGTTTATTTACATCCTCATTTTCTAACCAAAGGGTAATCAAAGCCCTGTAATAATTTTTGCTATACAAAAATAAGAAACGGATAAATATAAAAACACAAAAAAGCTAACAAACACATGCATGCTTTTATCCCCGAATGGTTTACTTATAAAGAATACAACATAATGGTGTAAAAAAAATAAAAAAAATAAAAAAGGTTTTCATCACCAAAGAAAGATTAAATGTCTGCAACTCATGCTAAAAGAATAGGTACTCTAAATAGCTCTTGAACAAGTTATCTTCCTTAGCACTGTTAATAAAATATGTATACCAAGTAGAAATGATAAGATTATGACTAGTCCCATACTCCATTTCAATCATACGTCCTTCATTCTCTACTATATTTTCTACATAGAAAGTTATGGGCAGACATTGGTGCTTCTCTGCCAGCCACTACCACTAGCAATCCAATGATTCCAATCATCTATAAAAGTACTTCCATTGGGTTTGCCTTTCTTTCGTGGTCAATGAAACCAACTTTTCAACCTTCTTTTCCATTAACTTATGTGTCAAATTGTAGATCTATGTTTTTAATGGATGTGGAAATACATTCAATGAATGCGAACAAGGAAATGGAACATAGAGAACTTCCCAATTCAGAGCTGCTGCCCCCTTTGATTTCTATTTCAACACACTTCTTAACTGCTTATAAAGTCTAAGGCATTTCAAAATGTATTTCAATTTCCAAGACTTTTGGGAAATGAAACACTAAGTTTCCACGATGGTATATATAAGGCAGAATTTATAAACAGCAACAAACAAACTAAAAATCCGCTATACATAAGGTAATAGTTGACAATTTTTTCTATTTCTTACTTGTCATATGCAATAGTACAAACTTTTAACTTACGTGAAAATAAAGTCTAAGTTATTTGTGGCAAAAATGTGTCAACATAAATGCTACACATTGTTGAACTCTGGATTAATAAAGATTACCAACAAGACATACAAATAATTAAAGATAGAAGTTGAGGGAAGTAATAAGTACCTTCTAATGACACCCCATTCAACACGAGTCAGTCTAGGTACGTGGCCCAAACCCACATGATACAAATACTCCACAAACTCACATTTAGCAAACCAAGGGTAGTCAATTGCACTGTAAAACCACTCATACACACACCATCTCCTGACAAGGTGGCTAGACAAGCAATTACAAAGCCTTTCCTGTAATCATAAAAAGGACTAAGTCAGCATCTATGAAAGTCCAAAATATAGGCTATCTGCTAGGATTTTTAAGGACGATTCCTACACCTTGAGGTAAACTGTCTTATCATGGTATGACTGCCCAGATGTGTTAGATTGCTCATTAACAAAGATATCCGACCTTTGGATCTGTGCTTTGTCCACTTTACGCTTGCTTCTAGATTTGGTTGGCACATTGACCTCGCTAGTTTCAGGAGCCTGTACAGATGACACTGCTGAGTCATCTCCGTCTCTTCTTATATCAGTACTTGAAGATGAATGTTCAGAAATTTTGACCAAATGACCAAGCTGCTGTTGGGAAGCATTGTTTGAAAATTGTCGAATTTTGTTAACAGACTTCAAACCTTGATCTGGAACCTATAAGCAAGAGCACAAGTACAGCTGCATAATAAGTAATTATTCACAAAGAAAACAAGAATTAACAACTAGGGAGAGTGATAATAGCAGTAATAAAGCACAAGCACAATAATTAAAAGTATATTGAAATGCCTGAAAATATAATACGGGATACATCATAGCAATGATAACAGTAGTGGTAATACGCCGTACCATTAAATAAGAATGCTGCCTCTATAGGCTTTATTTCAAAAGTTTGTTTTTTCACAAATTTCAATGCACATCTTTGACCATCAATATTATTAAATATTATACAAACTTAGTACTTGAAACTTTAGATCAAGACAATTCCAAAAAGAGCCTATAAGAGTACTTTTTTCTAATACATCGGTAAGTTTTCATGATCAAAGCTTAAGCTCTTTGACTACAACAACAACAACAACAACAACAACAAAGCCTTAGTCCGAAAATCATTTGGGGTCGACTAACATGAATCGTCATAAGGAACCATACAATATAAAGAAAGGAACATAACAAGATAATCTGTTGAAAGAGTTTGAAAAAAGGTGAGTAAATAAAGTGAGTAAAAGAAAGAGGATTCAAGAAAAATTAAGGGAGTTTTAAAAGAGAACCAAGAATAAAATTCAAGCAAGTTTTAAAAGGAGTGGTTAAAACGTTTAGTGGAGCTATTTAGTGGAGCTATCAACTGATCTTATTTTAAAACCACACTACGCCTTTTTTCACTGAAGCGATTTTCCCTGCGCCTCAGCAGCACCTAGGCGCGCTTTTTAAAACTAAGAATCCGAGTATGGAAATTTTACTCAACTCAACCCTTGTTATAAAGAATCGCTCAAGGCCTATCAAGGCAATTCAGAGCCCTCGACTTAAGTAGTTAAGTGATGCGCCTCATTGAAGTGAGGCTCACCTAATAAACTATGAGAATAAAGGGAAAAAAATAAGAACAGTTAAGATATCTAATTAATTCAAGATGCTTCTTGTAGAAGTAACAAAGATTGATCAATTGGAAAAATTAAAATTAATGGTAAGGGGATGAAGGCACCAGAGTGAGTAGAGGCGGCTCGAAAACGAATGATCGCATCTCTACCGATCACTTAAAAAAAATAACACTTATGTTAGTTGGATGTCTTAACATTTTAATGCAGACTTATTAAATCTTTAAAATAAGAAAAATAAAAACAGCTAGTTTTTTTTGGGTACACTATTCTCAAGCAAGCCAACTTTAGCTTCAAATTTTCTTTCAACCTACTTCGCTTGCCATTTTGAGGCCATACATCTATACTGGCACCAGTTTATTAACTTCTTTTGATGTTTCTATAGAGATGTAGAACTAATATGATATTATTGCCAAAGAAGAAGATATCATCAAAATTTCTACAACTAGCTTTCTAGACAATAAACAATTAAATAGCACTAAACTAAGAATTCAAAAATAATCCAAAGTAAAATTATTAACGAGTAACCAGCAAGTGGACCAACTGAACAAATCCGTTCACAATATATGTAACAGAAAAACCTCAATTAACAGGAACTGTCAACCAAACAAGTTAAATCAGGGATGCAGAAGCTGTTCAGGATAAAATAGGAGAGCCATATGAAGTAGTCTACATGGATGTACAATCTAAAGAAATATAAATAACACACCTGTCTGATAAAACAGTGTTAGCAAACAAGAGACAGAATCAGATAAGTGTTCCTTTATCTCTTTAAGAAGGTTACAAAACAAGGACTGATAATAGAAAATTAATACGTTGAACTCTTATAAAAACATGTTGCACCTCTAGCATTTTTCAATCATCAGATGTTATTTATATGCTCCATAAATAAGAAGTGGAAGTCAAACAATCCAATTTAAAATTGTACAACTTAAATTAGATATCAAATTGCTCAGTCACATTACAAGAAGAATTCTAGAAACGAGAGAAGTTCACACCTTTTCCTGAAAAGCATTGACACCCGCAAAAATTTGAACCTCTGAGGCAGCATTCTGCTAGTAATAGGACATCAAAGATAATCATTACCACGCATCTATTTATGAAACAAATTAGAGCTACAACCAAATTAATAAAGAAAAAAATAATAAGACTGTAACATTTAGTGGAGCTACTCTTACTTTAAAAGCAGAAGACTTAGGTTTTCTTTTTCGCATGCCTAAATCTTTTATTTCAGCTACAGGACTTGAATCAAGGGCAGAAACTTTTGCTAGTTTAGATTTTTTGGACTCAGAAACTAGAGAGTTCAGCATTGTTTGATCTCCCTTCTTCTTAGATGGTGAAAATTTTGGCTTCACCCTCTGACTTGTAGGTATGGTGTCCTGTGGCCTGAATGTGTTAATATCACTTTCTTTATCTTCCTTATGAGGCGCAGTTGACTCTGAGAATACATGGAAACCAAAATTTAGTTAAGCCTCAATAATTTGCTGAGCATTGCCTGGCATCTAAATTCTCAAGTAGAAACCAAAATAAAATGTGAGGAATCTATAAAGAGCAATTTAATATTCAGTCAATCAGTCTCTAATAATATGATAGATGAAGCTGTTGAACCAATAATTTTGAGGTTATGCTTGTGTCTTTGAAAAAGCATGAAACAAATTTAACTTCTCTTTCACAAAAAGGAAAAGAAATATCTCATATCATGATCACCATACCTGCCTCTGCTGTGGAAGATGGCATCATGAATGACAAATCAGCTAAAGCTTGCAGGGCATCCAAGGCTACACCTTCATCTACACAAAAGAATATAATAATAAGGTTTATCTTCTTCACTCCTTTCTCCCCTTTTTGTTTCATTTGCAATGCAATCGAATATAAATAACAAGACTCAGAAAAGCAAAAAGTGGCAAGAAAACAGACGTGCAATCAAAAGGACATGGAGCTAGAAACCCAGAGAAGAGAGAGGGGGGGGGGATAAATTTATTGAAAAGGTACTAATTAAAATTCAACAGACTTCAAGCCACCATACAGAAGATTAAGGATACAGCGACACATGATAGACATTGTACATCCTATGAAATAAAAATTAAAAAATAAATAAATAATTAAATAAATAAAAAAACATTAATAGAACAGGAAGATGAAGTTGCCATTAATCTTCTTCAAGAATATGGTTTACTTATAGGCTTCCTTAATCAAGTGAAGCATATGCAGATGAACAGAATGGCAGCTAATAAGGTTATAGTCCAGACATACCTCCCCCAAATAGGACCTTTTTACTCCTCTTTTTAGAGGCCTGGCCTGACGGTCGAATAAAAGTCGCATCTCTTGCTTCGGGTCCATGTTTTAATTCAAAACAGCTAAACCTTTGTCCTCCTTCAGTACCACTGCAGGCTTCCTTTATATCATCCCCATGATGTCCAGTATCTTCAGCTTCTACTTTTTTTCCATAAGACTTCTTTGCTTTTTGTTGAGCAGGTCTACCAGCACCTTTCCTGCCACCAGATTGAGGTTTCTCCCTGGAAAAATTATTATCGCCTTCTGTGCTTCCTAAACTTCCTTCACACCCAAAATCATCCATTTCATTTCCAACATTTTTGGCGCTGGTCATTTCTGACTCTGAACACTGTAAAATAAACAAAATTTATTAAATCCTCAAATAATATCTTGATAGACTATAGTATAGTGGTACAAGCAAGATTATGTTACCACTCCTTCACCCAAACCCCCAGGTGATTTTGAAACAGTCTCCCTTCTTTTACTTGGTGTCTGCGAGACCTGAGGGGACCCACCCCTGTGGGATGCCTCAGCCAATGTCAACGCCACTTCATGAGCAACATCGTCATCATTAGCATCTAACTTTGACTTCGGCCCCTGCCGAACTGGAGATATATACCTTCCTATGCTATCTTTATCATAAGTATATCTCACAGGAATGCGAGGCGTCCTTTTTCCAACTGCTCTAGGTTGGTTTCCTGAAATGTCTCAAGAATTAATCAAGCAAATCATAGAAAAATATATACTCAGTAACAATATGGAAATTAAAGCATTTTTCTCACAAATAATGTTTATCACAGCCTACTCCCCTTCTGACTTCTTTTCTATCAAGCAGAGGAGCACCCAACCTACTACAATCATAATAAAATGAAATAAGCAGGCCTCAGACTTGTTATTCACATGGACATTAAAATCCCACATTGAATCACTAAGCAACTATTAACTATTGGATGCATCACAGCATTGCGCCCACATTGTATAAGCTAAGTTTCAATGCGACAGCATTTTAGCTGCAAACCCTTCGCATTGCCCGCAAAAGCAGTTCAGCAACAGTTATTGAGATTGTGACTACATCTGAGTTTAAAGCAATATTACAAGTGCTGAGAGAGAGAGAGAGAGAGAGAAGGATCCTTGAAGCATATTTTTTAGCAAAATTTAACAAGAACGAACCAACCTTTGCTCTGTTCTCTCAAAATGTACCAACCTTTAAATCCGCCCTATATAAACCAAAGTTTGTATTTTTTTCTCCCGTAGCAAACCCAAATGACTTGTGACCTGAACAACCGGCCGGTCATTTTTTTTATTTTCTTTTTTTTTCATTTAATTATCTTTTTTAAATTAAAAAATTAACCAAATAAAATTAAATTAAAAAATTAAAAAAAAAAAAAACTCCCACCCACTGCCAGCCCCTTCCTCCCCGACCCCCCATATCAACCCCCTTCCCCTGCTACCCCCTTTAATTTCAAGCTTGGGTTTCGATGGGATTTCGGTTCGGCGAAGTTTCGGTGTGAGACAGTTAGAACATGCATTTTTTTTTTCCAACAATTTTTGTTTTCCGCAAATTTTGATTTATTGTTATTGAATTTGCTTCAATTTGTGTATGAATATTTTTGGTTCAATTTTTATTTTGTTGGTGAAATTTGCAGATGATATCCAACAATTTGAGTGATAAAATTCTTAAGGAAGCGTTGAAACCTAAGTTTCTGGGGTGGGTTTGCCGGTGTTCTGGGTGGTTTCCAGTTGCGGGAAAGGGGGAGGCGGTGGTGCCGCGGGCAGCGGGAATGGGGAGGGCTGGTCTGCCGTGGGTGGGGGAAAGGGAGAGGGGGTGAGGTTGCCGGCGCAGGGAAAATGGGTTGGGCGCTGTCCGCCAGCGGGGGAGGGGTGGCAGTGGGGAGGAGGGGCTGGCAGTGGTGGGGAGAGGGGGGATTTTTTTTTTTTTTAATTATCAAAATTTTAAAAATGAAAATAGATAAACTATTTAAATTATCAAAATTAAAAAAAAAAATAACAACCAATGAGGAGATGACACGTGAATAGCAACCTGGTATAACAGGTCAGCTTACTTGCTTGGTTTAATTTGGGAAAAATTAGAAACTTAGGTTTATTTTGGGTAGATTTAAAGGTTGGTGCATTTTGGGAGAACAAAGCAAAGGTTGATTTGTTGTTGTTAAATTTTCCTATTTTTTAAAATATAACTTACCACCAGAGCGTTTTTTCTTTAACAATGACAAACAACCATAATTTGAAGCAACCGCTTGAGAATGTGATACATCTGATAAATTCCTAGCTGTATTGGGATGTCCTTTGGCACGGGTACGCTTATGAGATTTTCGGGGCATTCCAACACCATCATTGCTTTCTTGTTCACTATCACTTCCCTCCTGAAAGACCATAACAAAATATTAAGATCCTCGAGCATCAAACAAGGTAATTTTTATCAATATGGGTGCAAAGAGCCTAATATCTAGATTCATTAAAACAAAGATTTGACAAACTAACAATGACAGCATAGAGCATACCACATTACCACCCCAGATCATTAGTCTAAATTGCCAAAGATAGAACCTTTTGCAGCCGACAAATTTTGCATGCCTTTCATCTTCAGTAGATGCCAATTCCAGTACACCCTTTGTTCAAGCAACTTCTAACTGAACAGATTCTTCGTCTTAACTCCTTATTTCTACTCTTCTATCATTTTTTTCAAGCAATGTTTCAAATTGACATGTCTAGGATTTTAGAAATGAATCGTACATTACTAAGATATATTTGCTTACCACCAACATGGCAACAGATATAACAATCTTGTTTATAAAACCTCCAAATGAACATCAACATAAACAACTATTCAACCCTTTTTTAATTGCGTATGATTTTGGGCTTTAGTGTCACTTTCAAATTGATTATTTCATTCAAAAGATAGTTACAAAAAAATAAAATAATATCTATAACTACAAATTTTACATTTGACTGACAGTAATGCAAACTAAAGCCTCATGCAGAGAGAGAGAGAGATTTACCTCCAACACAAACCATCAAGAATACAAAGATAAGTAACAGAAAATCAGTAATAATAAAAGATATATATATTGGTATTGGTCAGCTAGCATTTGTCGCTTACCAAGACAGAATAATGATCAGTCATCATTGCTATTAATCCAACAACAGAAGCTGTTCCCTCTGGAAGAGACAAGTAAGCCTAGAAAGAGAGAAATTGAATATAGTCAGTCGCAAAATGAAAATAGTTTTAATGCAAATTACTTTCCATTCAGCATGTACAAGAAAAGAATTGCAATAAATACAAAGGATTACAACCGGCTTATTTAAGTTCACAAGTTACAGCTTCACTTAAAGAAATAAAACTACTTTAAGTACAGATACACATGTTGATATGGAGGACAAGGGCAAATAAAATTTTCAACATATTTATTGGAGCAAAGTCTACCTCTGTGCGGACATGGATCATCGAAACAGATAAACTACAACATGAAAGCCTACTCATAAATGAACATACTGATTGAGATATTTCACTTGCAGAGGAAGACAAATTTGCATCTTCACTATCTTGGTTAATTCAATCCACAACTAGGACAACATCGAGTATCATGGAAAACAAGTTTCAAAAAATGAAATCTAAACAAAAAAAAGTGAGCTAATCATGGCAACATATCTAAGCAATTCGTTAACGAAACCTTTAGGGTCAAATTCATCCAAGGCTTGGAACATTAATATGAATGCAGGTGTGTATAATTTTAATCATATTCCATATTTGTAAATCTGTACTATACTACTGTAGTAACTATACGTTAAAGTGTTCCTACGAATGTTTACATGTTGCGTCAAGTTATTTGATTTCATGTCATCTAATTACATTTTAAAAATCAAAAACTCCAACCCGTGAACTCTTGTTTCAACACTAGGAACCTATCCAATGAGATATGTCATAGACTTCCTCGTTCTTTTATTATTGCACCATAGGGGTTGGGCACAAGTTTATTCGTAGTGGTAAAAAGGATGAGAGAGAAAAGTAAAAATACAAAATTGCCCATGTGATTGTATACATAAACTTAAAAATCAAGTGATGAAAAGTAAGGGTGTATCAAGTATTTGCACTGTGAATATAGATATTTTTTTTCCTATATTGAATATGGTGCAATATTTGTAAAACTTCCTTAAAAGGCAAGTGATAAAAATGCAATATTAAAAACAACGGAGGAAGTATATAGGTTTAATTATAAGAATTCGATCATAATATCATGCATGAAAATAAATTAACTAAGGGGCCGTTTGGTTGGGGGTATTCATCAAAGGGAATGAGAATCAACTGCCTTGATTCCCTTTGTTGTTTGTTACGCCTTTTTTCCCATTTCCTTTACCCTCTTCATTCCCCTAAATCCTTCTAAGTTGATTCCCCACCCCCCCCGGTATTTCCATTTCCATTCCCATTCCTTAGCCACCACTACACCACCATACCACCACCCTCCTACCTACCCAAATCACCGAAAAGTCGCACCACGTCACCACTCGCCGCCTCTCCCCCACCCCTAGCCGCACCTCCCCTCCCTTCGTCGGCCATCCTCACTCTCGAAACCCACCATCGAAAAACCTAAAAACCCTAAAAAAAACCCTTCTCCCTCACTGTAAAACGGCCGACCGGCCCTCGCCTAGGGTTTCGATGGTGGGGGAGGGCCGGCCGATGGGTTTTACGGAGAGTGAGACTAGATTCTAGGGTTTTTCAGGGCTAAGGGAGGTTTTTCGGGGGAGGGATGAGCTGCGCTGGGCCAGCAGGGATGGGGGAGGGTTGGCGTAGGGCGGCGAATGGTGGGGGAGGTGCGGTGAGTGGTTTGGTGGATGGATGGTGGCTGGAAAAGGTGGAAAGTTAATGAATTAGGTGGTTGTGTGGTGGTGGGACTAGTGGGATTTGTTTCCCTTTGTTTTTAAAACAAACAACATAGCAAATACAAGGTATTTTCATTCCATTCTTTTCTTTTCCCTTTTTTCATTCCATTCCGATTACCCTTTGCGAACCAAACGGCCCCTAATTGTTATCCATGTTAACCTGTGGCATCGCCATCACCCAAACTCGAAATTTATTTTAATGAATAAAATGTTAGATAAAATTTCAAGGTGAACAAAAGCATCACGTGGTATGGTGCAAGCAACTTTTCATGAGCACTTTCAAAAAAGTATATATCAAATGCATGCATATCAGGATATACATACACACACTCTAGATTGCAAAATTACAATAAAAGTTGCATACAAGTGATATACAACAGTACACACTAACTTAAATTCAAATTTAGGATGTGAATGATAACAAATTAAGCAATGCAACCAAACCATTCTCACCCTGTTCATAGTATATAGAGCCTCGACCATTTCCACAGACCGATTACGTACAGCTGCAGCCACCTACACCAATGTCAACAGACCTTGAATAAAACTTATAAATCTTGAATCATCACATTCCAGGAGGAGCAATAGAATCATCACATTCCAGGAGGAGCAATAATAATGTCGGGTTTTAAACACATAATAACAAAGGGAAAAAATAAATAAATAAAATAAACCATATATGTTGTGCTAACCTTCTTCCAGTCTTTCCCATACTTGCGATATGCCTCATAAAAGCGTTGAAGCTCTTCTTTGCTCCACTGAGCCCCTAACATATCAGACACCTTCCGCTTCTAAACAATACAACAGCGACATTTAAAACCAATTGGCTCCAAACAAACACAGACATAAAAACAGCAAGTAGCACAACTAGTGAGACTCACAAGAAGTGAGTAGTGAACAATGCATATAACCATCCTTTTAAAGACAACCCTGTCCTTAAACAAGATTGTAATTTGTACAATCTCTATGATATCAAACACCCAGCATAATGCATAGTTGCATTGATAATGCTATGATAAAGTTTGGTTTTCAAAGGCATAGGAGAATAAATATTAGCTTACCCGTTTGTTACTTTTATTAGCAGTATCTCCATCTTTAGCAGGAGAGATCTCATTAGGATAAGAAAATCGCTTATTTACACTCCTCGACTTCCTCGTGGGAGCCATTGATTGTATAGCTGCAAATTACCAGATCTAACAGATAAAAGAGCTGATAATCATTTCCACACTAAGACAAAAACACATGCAGACATATCTGAAGAAGAGAAAAAGGATAAATCATGCTTAGGACATATATCCAACACCGAAAGACGGTTAATTAGAATATGGGGCTTGATCAAAGCTAATGAAATTCAAACTCAGTAAAGCGCAATTTGACATATTCCTTTGCTCAAACCCAAATCTACAGTTCCCACTTCCCAAAAACAGGAGATAATGCCAATTACTCTAACTGAAATCATTTACGGCCGTCGAATCAAGTTCCACGACACTCAACATAGACCTTGTCGATCTTCAAAGAAAAGGGTCTATCCTACAGAAATTTATTTTGAGATTTTTTTAACAGACCCTAATTCAAATTAGTAGAGCAAATTTGAAATAAAGCTAAATCCATGCAATATAACAATCAAAGCAAGAGGAGAATTGAGGATTCAAGGAGATTAATTAAAAGAAAAAAGAAAAAGCATAAAACTGAATCAATTAGTGGCTTAATACATTGGTAAAAAAAATCCAAGAATGAAACAGAAATGCAAACTAACAAGCAGAACCAAAGCATATTCGGTACTGTAAGCAAAATAAACCAGAAATTTGATCATTTCAAAAACCCTAATCGAAGCAAAACAAAAATTGAATAGAAAAATGAACTTACCTAACCGATCAAAACGCAGCAACAAGTAGAAAAAAAAAACGATCAAATAACAAAAGGAAGATTAACAGGAGAAGCTGCTGATGAAGGGAAAAAAAAAAAAAGGAAAGATTAGAAGAGAGATTGAAGAAATTGGAGGATGAACAAAGAATTTGAGAGTGTGAAGATGAAGAAGAAGAAGAAAGGATGTGAAAATTGAGGGTATGACCGCGAAAACTTAAAAACAATGGCCAGCCAATTTGTGCTTTATCTCTCTTTTCCTCTCTATTTGTCCGTCTCTTCTTTCCTCTTCTTCCTGTTGTTACCTGTGACTTTCGTATGTTTTGTTTAAATTAAGAAGTGTATTTAAATTTTTAAATTTGTGTGAAGGGGCTAATTGGATTTTGGCGATGATTTATGTGTTTATGTATGTAATTTTTTTTATTTTTTTTTTTTTTTTTTTTTTGAGTAGAGCGCAACAAATCTACTTTCTCTGTTCTTTTTTAGTTGACCTTGCTTCTTTTATCACGCTTGTCAATGCAAAATTTTAACGATCAATAACTTTAATTCCTCATAAGTAAAAATTATAAAAGTTATATATTATAATAGTATTTATTGAGACGAATTTAAAAAGATTCCACATGAATATGTTTTTCATTATATATTATTCACAAAAGATGGTCAAAGGAGGGGTGATGAATAGTGTAAAAGTCAAAGCGGGTCAAGTAAAAAAGAACGGAGAAAGTATTAGGCAAAGTTCACTCTGATTGTTCACTTACACTAGGGTTGATAGGCGTGTGCAACGGTAGTTTGGCGTATTTAGAAGTGAACCGATACGTGTGGCATTGTATAGGTAAGTAAGTGTGATTTAGTGATTAATTAAGGAATGTTATTTGCTTTAATCAATAACATGATACTAAAATAGACACCAGGATGACACGTGTCACTTCTTGGTGTTTTTTTTTTCCCTCCAAAACTCCCCCCTCCCTTTTAGCAAAAAGGTTTTATTTTTGGAATATATGAATAATACAACTATAATAATATATTATTCCAAATCTTATATTGTAGGATTTCGTAGTGACCCACACTACGCGGAAAGAAACCCGCCAAGACCCGCCCCCATAATAAATGCAATTAACAAGCAAAACATAATTAAACATAAGAAAAGATAAAAGATTATACCTTTGACGCGTGCTTCGCTCACCGAGGAGCTCTTACTTCAACCCCGAAAACACGAGGCCTCCGACGGGATCATACCCTCGAACCCGACCCGAGCGTCCTAAGCCTCGAAGGTTAGTCAAGGCCCGGACAAATAAAAACTAAGAGTTTTACGAATTTAAGGTTTACTCAAATCAAGAGTTGCCTTTTTAATTCCACTCAAGTGTATCCATTCCCAATACCCAAGCAAGGTATTTATAGGGAATTGGATCCTAGATTTCCAATCTCCCACCAATGTGGGAGAGTTGGTAAATTCAACAATTTATTTAATTCTAAATTAAATAAATAATTAAATCAATCACAACGCAACAAGTGGCGCAATTAAGGGCTAATGAGTCATGCCCAAGGTTAGGTGGGGGGACCATAGCCTTGCTCCCCAAGGCTTTGCTTGGTCCCCACAACCACACAAAACCGGCATCAAGGGGTGCTAGCTGGCAGCGCTAGCTGGCCTTACATCCCCAGCCAGGCTATGCGTGCTGGCGCTGAGTGATGCTGGCGCTGATGCTGCGTGCTAGTGCTAGGCATTGCTAGCTGTTGCACTGGCGCTGGCCCCTAGCACTCCCAGGCACTCGCACGCCCAGGCACACGCACACCCTCTCGCATGCCTACGCACAGCCAGGCCAGCATGCACTAGCACGCGTAGCCCAGTCAGCTCACTCACGCACGCAAGGCCTAGCATGCGTGCTGCTAGCGAGCCACGTATGCTGGGGCTTGGTGCTGGGCGATGGTGCACATGCACACGCACACACGCAAGCGCCTGACATTGAGATGGTGCTATGCGATGGTGCATGGCCATGCGATGGCGCCTAGGCACCCAAGCAAGCACGCTGTTGTGCTGCGATGGGCTGCCTAGTGCCCCTGGCACGCATGGCGTGCCTAGCACACCATGGTGCGCCTAGCACGCACATGGTGCGTCTAGGCTCGCGTTGAGCTAGCCTAGCCTAGCAATCCACATGGCTAGGCTAGTGCGATGCTACGGCTACGCTCATACTTGTTGCATGTGATTTTGCGACATTCGGTCTCGACGCCCTAGGCTCGATATTCGACGTCTGTATTCGTAAAACTCCGTCGACTCATTAATTCCTTCTGATCAATTCGTCGTCTCGGATCGATTGTTCGATTGGGTTCGACCCGAAGGGTTCAGTTAAGATTAAGCTGTAATATTAATTGTACCTTAATATTACAGATCGGAAGCGGCCTCCACCTAGGCATTCCGATCACTTAACCTTACTGGAGAATTAGCTCTGTAATAATTCTGAACCCTCTATCAGAATAACACACTTGTTGGAAGGACACCATTCCTTTCAATCTCCCACTTGTCCTTCCGGACAAGTGTGCATATAGTGTATAGCTGATAAGTGTCATTTATGACACATATTAGGGCATTTTTCTCCCTTAGTTTTAGGTTTATTTCGGTGTTTCTTTGTTATTTCTATTCCTTTTAGTCTTGTTTTAGTTATATTTTTCCTAGTTTATGGTTTTAGGCCTTAGTTGTGAATAATATGCTTTTTTGCTCGGTTTCTAGCTTGATTTGCATGTTTTTCTATGTGTTCTTTCACTCTTTTCTCTCTTGGTCTATTTGTGTAGGTGCTTGACGCTTTCTTCGATGCTTATGACCCGAGAAAAGGAAAGAAAGTTCAATAGAAGAAGCTTGAAACTAAGAAAGAAGCTAAGAAGCTTGAGACAAGAAAGCTTGAAGCTCGTAGAAGGCCTTAAACCAAGTCTTGTTCACTCTTTCAGCCATAACGTTTGATCTACACATCGGATTGAGGCGATTCAAATTGCGTTAGAAACTAGACTTGAAGAGCTTTCCAACTGTAGGTCACACACCCCAAGAAGGATCTTAGAACAGAAGTTATGGCCGTTTGAATTAGCAAGACGCTGCCAGGCTCCGCGGGCGCGGCCCATGGTGCCGCGGGCGCGGCCCTCTGCTTTCCCCAACTTTGCAATTTTCTGGAGATGCCTTGCCGCGGGCGCGGCTCTGGGTACCGCGGGCGTGGGGTTCTGGGTCTTTTACGAGCTTAATTTTTGGATTTCTTTCTTTCTCTTCTTGTAATATAAATAGAGCACTTCTTAGACTTTCTTTGGGGGGGAGTTTTTGGGGTCTTCTCACCTCTTTGAGGGGATGAAACCCCTTTGCCTTCTCCATCATTTTATCACTTAGATTGGGGCTTAGATTTAGTTTTATCTTTGTTTTGTAATTTAGTTTAAGAGTAGTTTAGAGAGAGAAAGTGAAGAGCTTCAATGGTGGATTGAAGAGGTTGAAGATGCAAAATGTGACATTGTTTTGGATTCCTTTTCAAAACTTCAATGAGCATTCTAAACTCTATCTCATTTATTGTTTTCTTTAATTATTGCTTTGATTAAGTTGCTCTTGTTATTGATTTTGTTCTTAGTTTAATGTTTTCCCTAATTTCTTGTTTACTTAGTTTAATTGTTTAGGTTTAATTGTTCTTGTTAGTTTGGTTTAATTGGTTTCTTGATTGTTCTTCTTTATTCTTGTTAGTTTAGATGGATTTAGTTTCTTTGTTTTTTTGATCTAGTCATGTTAGTTTAGTTTTCTAGCTAGGGTTAGGGATGATTGTTGATTAATGTGCAAAATGAACACTTTATTGATGGTTTGATGGGGATTGTTGGTGTATTGAACTAAGAATGAAGGGCTTAATGCTTGGTGTCTTTTTAGCCAGTCGATATCATGATTTAATCGCTATTATGCTAGTTGTGCGAGAGTGAGCTACTTTAATAGAAGAATTTCGTTGCTTGGTTGACCACGACCTCATAGGCGGGTTTGAGAGTCTAATGGCCTAGTGTGTGCGAGAGTGACCTAGGTTGTTAGGAAATTCTCCAATTTCATCTACTTGACCGATTAGATAATCAATAGTGTTTGTTTGCGTTTGATTAGTGCTAGCATATCGGTGTGTATGGTTATTTCTTGATGATTTGGAAGTGCTCATTGAGGTGTGTTAATGATTGCTTTCACTTTGGCTAATTGAATGCATGATTTAATTGCTACCCTATTTAGTTGCTTGGAAAAGAGCTATTTAGGTAGAAGAGAACCCCTTGAGTTAATCACGAGCCTTTGGCCGGGATTGGGTGTTTAATTGTATAGCGTGCTTGGGAGAGACCTAGATGATTAAGAGTTGCCCCTTGCATTTTATTGCGAATGTCCATGCCTATTGCTATGCTTGTGCTCGTCACATTAATTATGCTTGATTCCCCATTCCTAGTGACTTTATTTCTTAGGTTTTAATTCCGTAGTTAGTTAGCTATCATCTTTTGTTTTAATCCACCCCTCATATCTCCTTTGACCTAGCTTAGTTAGTGGTAGTGTTGACGATAGTTTAGCCGTCTCTGCGGATCGACCCTTTACTTACCATTAGACTTGTCTAGTGTAGGTTTAGGTATAAAAATATTGTTTGGTAGAGGGACAGTTAGTCCAACGACCTAACCAGTTCCGCTCTCATCAATAGCCCATTTCCTATGTCGCTTAATGTCTCTTTGTGAACTATAAGGTAAAATTCATCGTCATCCTTATTACGTTCAGAAGTGTTTCTCGATCTCCGAGTTCGACTGTCAATAAGCAGATGATTTCTAAAATCCATCTGAGCACGGCCATGCATTTTCACAGTCCCACTCTTCGAGCGACCTTGTAAACAACAAAGACATGTTGCCTATTGTTAATAGGGGGACATTCCCAGTCTTGCATTGTAAGTTTCTCTTACTAAGAGGACCTAATCTCCTGAGTGTTCCCGTTATGATCCCCAGTTACGGCAGACGTTAGGCAACATCAAATAGACTAGTACTCAAACAAGAAAACTTCACAATACTCATGGTCGAGGAAACGAGTTCCGATAGGTATTATGAGAAATGTACTTATGACAATTTTGAATCTCTTAAAGTACTCTCATAGGTCAATCCAGTGCAGTTCCAAACTGACACCTGTGCAAATGATATATGACCATCATGTCCTTGTAGCACAAGAAACGGTGCTGTAAATCATACTACACACTAATCTCTGGTGGTCATCAATCGTCCATCAGTTAGATGACCTCGATTAGGGATAATTTTCGATTTAAATATTCAATGTTCACTTAACAAGTGTTTCTTTATCCAAGACATGGTCTTGATACCCTGTTTTGAATATTTTTGTAAA